AGAACTCAAGTCAGTCCAAGAGTTTTAGCGGAAAATCGAAAAGCAAATCTACCATTTACCTCAGATCATCATCGAGAAATTAGAACTCAAGTCAGTCCAAGAGTTTTAACGGAAAATCGAAAAGCAAATCTACCATTTACCTCAGATCATCATCGAGAAATTAGAACTCAAGTCAGTCCAAGAGTTTTAACGGAAAATCGAAAAGTATCTTGTGAACTGAGGAAGATTTTAATCTTACTAGAATTTTCTAATGCAAAAGAAAGGTTTTTAACATTTCCATCAAATAAACTTTATATATTAATTTTAATTTTATGCAAATAATAATTTATTCGCAAAAAGAAATTCAAAAAAGTTAAGAGAAAAAGAGTTGAGAAAAGAAAAAAAGTTCATCAAAAATGCTTAATGCATAAGTGATAATTAATTAATTGCAATGCATTCTGTCACTATTCTTTTTTCCTTAAAAAAAAAAAACTAATTTTCATCAGCATCATTAACTCCATAGTATATCCTTATTGCTGCATAGAAGTGAGCAAAAAGTTCAAAGGTCAGGAAATTTTCATAAATTTTATAATTTCATTTGAATATAGCTTTAAAATGTATGTAACATTGTTAATCTTCTTATGAAAAATGATTGGTAATGCTACCTAAACATTTACTATAAACAGTTTAAACTTATGAGAAACGAAGTAGATGAAATTTTAAACTCTTGCATTTGAAATGATATTACTGTATGCAAAGATTTGAAATAATAATATGAAATACAATAATACTAGATTGAAATAACACTAGGTTTGAAATAATACTGTATGCATTTAAAATAATACTACCGTATTCAACCATTTAACTTTATAACAATCTAATTCATGCTGTAAAAACCGAAAAACACTATTTTGATCTTTTTGGAATATTTAATATTCAGAAAATGCCTTCCTACGATTTTAAGTGGTGCAATTTTTGAGATGCGAATGAAAGTAATTTGTAAAAAATTGTTTGAAATTTAAATTCAAAATAGGATATTGCTGAAAGTTTTTAACTTAAACCATAACTTTAGGATTAACTAAAAGATTTTTAGCTATGAAATTTTAAAAAAAAATTTTCAAAAATCCAAAAGTATTTTGTAAATTTAAAAATAAAGAAAAAACTCCAATCTTAATAGAATTTTCGAATATTTAAAGGAAAATGAGCTTTTCAACAATTCCATCAAATAAACTTCATATACTAAATTTTGTAATTTTTTATATAGGTGGAACAATTCCTGGAATATCTTCCAAAAAATTTGCATATTCATTTAACCGATTAATAAATTGTATAATTTGTGGTAATTTCAACTATTATTTTCTTTTTTATCATTCTTGTAGCACTTATTTGAAATTACGTAATTTTTAATAGATAAATATGCAAATTTTTAGAAAATATTCCGAGAATTTTCAAAGAAAAAAATATGAAAAAATTAAAAATTCAATATATAAAGCTTATTTTACGAAAATGTTATAAGCTTTCTTTTTTTTTGCATTGGAAAATTCTAGTAAAACTGGAATTTGTTTGTTTATTTTTTTAAGATCATAAAATAATTTTAGATTTTGTATTAAAATTTCTTATTCAATCCCAATAATGGTTTAAGCCATTGAAAGATCCATTAGTAATTCAAGTTATTTGATAAAGTATTACTGATTACCTACCAATTATTTTACCGATTTCCTAACTAAGTGTTACTGATTTAGATTCGTTATACTCAGTTGATTGGTCATAATCGGAATCACATCTGTAATTAGTGTTATTGTGAATAAGTAACTATAATGACAATAATCATTTCAAGACTGTTGTTGTTTTCACTAGTATTTACAGCAGATGCAAACACAAAGGTTAAAGGTTAACTGAAGAGCCAGCTCGGGGTGAGTGTCATTTTTGGTGTAGCACTGAAGCATAGACGGTACTGATTGATTGATAATGCTGATTAAATTATCATCCATTTGGTGGAATGACAACCTT